CTCCTGCCTCAGCCTCCTGAGCTGTTGGGATCACAGGTGTGTGTCACCATGCCCGGCTTTTAGACCAATGGCTCTAAGTTAGCTACAAAGCCAAGGTCTGAGCCCCTGGTCAACTGCTGTCTGAAGATGTGGTAAGCAAACCCACCTCAAAGGTGGTTCTTTCTTGTGTGTGTGCTGCTGGGGGTTGAACCCAGAGCCTCATGCATGCGAGGCAGGCACTCTACCAACTGCGGTATGTCCCCAGTCCCCACAAAGGTGATTCTTCTCCTGCTCTAACAAAGCCCAGCAGGAGCCTCGGCCAGGTGCACACCTGTCTGCCTCGTCCAGGATGACGATCTTGTGCCGTCCTTTGGGAAGGGTGACCTTCTGTTGAGCAAACATCTTGATTTTATTCCTCACAACGTCGATGCCCCTGGAACAATAAACCAGAAATGTAAGTCACCTTTTGAGGCAAATTCAGTTCCCTTCACAGGGATTCAACCACCAGGGACTACAGGACTCAATTTTAGTTTTTTAATTTCTTTTTGTATTAATTCTCACGATTCAGGAGGACTGATATTTCAGGGCTTCTCTTCTTCCCTGTAGGGCTTCCAAGGACCAAAGCCACCATGTCCTGACTTTTGGACAGAATAAAACTCATTTTATCCTGAACCACCACGGGGACCCCGGGCCCTTCACAGCCGAGGGTCCCTTTGGGTCTCAGTGCTCACTCCTCCTGTGCCCTGGCGCAGCAGCTGGCCACCCGTCATGCCAGGAACTGCTCCGTCGCTTATTCCCAACGGTGCTGAAGGAGGCCGGGGCGGCCAAGGACACCACGCGGAAGGACGCCAGTGCTGCTCGCCCCGCAGGGCCTGCTCCCAGTGCAGGAGGGGCTGGGCCAGCCTGGACTGTGGTGCTGGAATGGAACCAGGGTTCAAACACGCCAGGCCACCTTGGCCACCGAGCCACACCCAGCCCTGGACTGCCATCTTCGTAGTCCATGAGGTTTCGTGGACCATGGCTGAGAATATACATGGCCACTGCCTGGGCCCGGGCTCAGGGGTGGGGTATGCCGGGTGAGCAAGGCCCTGGCCACCAGAACAGCACACTGAGGCCTTGTTCACCTCAGCAAAGGGAAAAATGGGCAGTTTTCATAACGGTCAGATAATCACCAAAGGCTGCCCAGACGCTGGCTGTAGCACCAGGGATGCCACTGGTGTGACATTGACGGGTGGCCTCACCTCAGGCCATAACTCCAGTAATCCAGTCAAGGCTGGACAGCATGTTTCTTTTTTCCTTTTTGTGTGGTGCTGGGGACTGAACCCAGGGCCCTGTGCACACGAGGCAGGCGCTTGACCAACAGTGCTCTGTCCCCAGCCCTGAACAATGT